ACCTTTTCTTTTCCTTCTCCCCGTAATTTTTGTTTGATTAAGGAAGCGGAAAATTCCGAACCATAAATGGGAATATTTGGAATTAATTGTAATAAATAAGGTATGCCACCAATATGGTCCTCGTGGCCGTGGCTGATAAATAACCCTTTTATTCTTTTTTGGTTGGCTAGGAGATAAGAAAAATTAGGAACAGTGCCATCGGCTAGATTGCTTCCATTAAGGAATTTAATTCCACAATCGACAATAATTATATCCTCATTTTTTTCCAAAACATAGCAGTTTTTTCCCACTTCGTGTAAGCCCCCCAGGGCAAATATTTTTAAATTACTTGACATTATAGACATAAGTTAAATTTTGATTTCTTTATTATTATTTGACGGTTGTAGGTGTAGCATCGGTTCTTTTTCCCTTTCATATCAGTCAACTAAAAAAACCCGCCACTGCTACCATACCAACTATTAGCAAAGCAATTTTTCTACTACTCATACCACTTCCTTTATTAGGATGGTGAGAAGGATTAATGTTAGAATGAATACTTAACTTGATGAGGGGATTTTCCTCTTTAACCCAAATAACTTCTTTCAACTCTCCGCCAATTTTTCCGGTTCTAACATCACTCGACCAGTTAGTTTCCACCTCGTAAAATTGCCCTTTCCTAACCAGAGACGAAAAATTGTCAATTTCTTTTTGAGAATTAAAATTAAATTCTAAGTGAGAAAAATTTCTGATTTCATTTTTGCTTTCTAATTTCCCAGTTTTCGGATTTTTATCAACAAATTCTCCTTCATAATCAAAAGGTTTGGTCTCCAAATTAACAAAAAATATTCCTTGGCTTCCATCATAATTGATTTCTATGTTAAGTGGACAGAAAATTATTTTTTTAGTTTTGTGTGTTTTGGTCATCAGATTCAGATATTTATGATATTATTGGCGCGCTTAGGAGGAATCGAACCTCCGACCATTTGAACCGCAATCAAATATTCTATCCACTGAACTATAAGCGCCTGGCAACCATAATTAATTTTAGCAAATAAACTTGTAAAACTTTTTTATATATGTCTTATGACTTAATTATTATTGGTGCCGGACCAGCG